AACCATAGTTTTATCTTTATTCTCATTCAACCATAGTTGTTTTATCTTTATCCTCTTTCAACCACAGTTGTTTTATCTTTATCCTCTTTCAACCACAGTTGTTTTATCTTTATCCTCACCCCCTGTGATTATTTGAATTGATGAGAAGCACAGTGAAACAACTATCAGTACTTGAATGAGAGAAATTCAAAAAACTGAATGGACGCCTAATGCAAGTTTAACTTGTACATACAAGGTAAGTAAATTAATTCCTGAAAATTATTTTTAACTTAAACAAAAATATATTTTCCATGCTTAGAAATAATCAAATGTAATATTATAAAAATAATAGAAATACATAATCTACAATACAAAATCATACAGTATTATTTACATAGAAATGAAATGATAAAAGCTTACTACATTTTCAAAAAATAACTTGCAATTTATAAATTAAATTCTTCTTTAGTGGAAAAAAATATTAGTATACAAATGTAAACAGGAAGAATTATGTAACTGTTCACACCGGGAACTGTCAATTTCATCGTACAGAATCCATTTGCATATGTCTTCCTTTTCTATAATGGCTGGTTGCACAGTAATATTTTCTACAACAAATTCATACAAATATGTTGATCCATTGAATGAAGATACAGGTATGGTTGCCATGGTTGAACTTGAACACTGAAGTCAGGTGTATCTCCCACAGCTAAGACATTCAGCCATATATCCACATGGATTATCTTTTACTATCTTCTCGTTTACCTGCTGAAGAGTTTTGTATTAATGATCATTTGCGACACATCAGTGAGATGGTACATCACCTCAGCTGATACTTTTATCTTGAACACACCTTTCAACAAGCATTACAAAAGAAATGAATTTTTCAAAATAGTTACGCATTCATATAACTCCTGTCAGAGTTTATTGTTTCACATTCACTAGTGAAAACCATCATTGAATAAAATTTAAGAAAAGTTTTAGACCAGTTAAGGAATATGCACCTTTAGTTTGTATCCAACTATTTTTACACACTTCTAGTGTCCTTCTAGTGTAGCAAGTTCTATCATTAATGGGTTCTTTTAGATTATTTGGTAAAAATAACACTAAGTTCAGTCCATGTAATGATAACATTTATTTTTTTAGTAATATTTTCTACAAATGACATTCATTTGCAGGCCTAACTTCGCAAACAACACAACAGAAACTCCAATACTTTTTGTGTTATAAAATTTATCAGAAATTATTTTTTCTTTTAAGTTTTCCCAACACAAAGCTATTATCTCTCTTTGGCTTATTCACAATCACATTTTTATAAAGATATTTTACACGGAAATTGCATGAGAGTGACAAAATATGTTATAGAGTTGTCAGATACTGTAAGAAACAAATAAAACACTATAAGCTACAGATGGTTGTTTTTTTAGCACAAAGATACACATTGGGCGATCTGCACTCTGGGAATGAAACCCAGAATTAAGCATTTTAAATCTTCAAAGTTACCACTTAGCCACCAGAAGGTGCTACAGATAGAAATAAAAACACAGAATATGATATATTAGAATATTCAATGGTCAACATTGTATATTATATATTCAATGGTCAACATTGTATATTAAAATACTCATTGGTCAACATTGTATATTAAAATACTCAATGGCCAACATTCTATATTAAAATACTCAATGGCCAACATTCTATAATATACAATTAACATATTATTTAAAAATTGACCAATGCTTATAAAAAAAGGCATTACATGTTGATTGCTGAGTATTTCAAATATTTATACAAGTTTCCTTAAACTTTTTCTACAATATTATAGAAACAGTAACTAGAACTATTGCCTAAATTTCAGATATTTTGAAAGTGAAAGGTGATTTAACTAAATGACCTAGGTTGACCCTGGTAATTTAAAGTTAACAGCTTGTAAATTATTTTAAAAAAGGAGTATCTTATATGTAATTACTCTGTAATATGTCATGATTTTCACAGGAAAAACTTACCAAAAGATAAAATGCCCAAAATATTGGACTACTTGTAGTTCTTAGTTTAATCTGAGCTCGGCTGAAATGAAGTCCAAGAAATAAAAGGAATAATACATTGGGGACAAATATACCCAAGTCCCATACTCGAACTCTAGAAAAAATAATATTTAATTATCAGTACATTTCTATGTTAAATTTACATATTATTTCCAGTACATATTACTACAAGAATCCTTTTCCTGAACTAAAAATCTGTAATAATTGATTCTCTAATAATTATAGTATTTTACATATATATGTAAACTTTTTCATTCAGTGCAGTTAAACTTATCCTTGAAAAAACTTCAGCCACAGACAATGCACAGTACGATGGTTTTACTATACATATTTGCACTCATAGTAAATCCAACATTTTCTATATTTTGGTATTGTGCCGACATGCACTCATATTTCACGTGCTGCTATTGGTGGAATTTGTTCTATGGTATGAGTGTTACCAGAGGCATATTTCCAAAAACATAAATCTGGTAACAATGAACAGTTCATTAGGCCAAGCTTCCCAGTTGAAGCTGTCAACAAAATAAAACTAATATTATCTCATTATACTCCGGATTTTATCTATTGGATCTCAAACTTTGTGAGGTAAAGCTATAATAATTAAATTTTTTATACTAAAGAATAAATTTATATCATTTTAACTTTTACTTATGTTACTTTAGGACTATATCCATTAGTCCGAAATACTAGATACGTATAGTGGAAGTCTGTCTTTTCTTCTTTCATGAATAAAATACTCAAAATTAGGTTATGCAGTTAATTTTAAAATGTTAGTGCTTACGATACCATTGTCGTAGAAAAACAACATAAAGTGGCTAGCCTTAAGAAGTGAACATCGTCGTAAACATGGTTACGAGCATGTGAAACAATATTTGTCTGAAAAAGTGTACTTAGTACAGAGTGACCCAAAATTTAATAATTAACTAACTAAAGAAAGACAACCATGAATTTTTCAACATCTTGTAGCCAAGACAGTAGTGTTACCATAAAATGTGGAAAGAAACTGAATATTTATTAGGTTAGATGAGAGCCACTAATGGTGCACATGTATAAATCTACTGGCGTGTGTTACGATGCCGTATTTTTGTGATATTTTGTAAAACTTACTTGTGAGACACTGCAGGTGTATCGCCTGATCCATGACATGTAACTAATGGATTTTAGCATGCGTGATCTCTCTCTAAGGGGTTTTTATATAAAAAATCTCAAGTTTCTGTTATGGGAGAGAAGTGTTTTTTGAGGAGTTTGATATATAGTTTAGTTTTGAGTGGCCATTTCAGACAGATATATCTGTATCAAACTTGAAATACTTTTTGAACCTAGATATTAATCGTATGTTTTTGTTATAAGCTATCATTAGCTTTTTGTGTACGACTCTAAAGAGTTTTGTAAGTTTAAGAATTAGTCTTAACTTTTGAAAGCCTTGTGCTATTTGAGAACTGTTGAAAACCGTTTTTGAAAATATCAACAAGTTTTGGTGCAGTGGACATTGAACTTTTTGTAACTATACATCTAGCGTGAATTAGAACTTTTAATTTACCACCTGAAGCTGAATTTTGACATACTATATTTGAAGTGATTACACTGGAGAGAGTTCCTATATGGATTCTATCAAGAAAGAGTGTTTTTTTTTTGTATTGTACCCTTTTTGTAAATTATTGTATACAAGTTAACATTTGATGTTTGTGTTTTTTTATTTTATAATATATCTTTAAAACCACAAAATTGCAGAGTTGTTATTTTTTATTTTTACATATTATATAGTACGGTAATACGGGATCATAACATGTCAATAAAAACTGTTTAAGTTGGGCTACAAGATGTTGAAAACTGCATGGTTGTATTTCCTTAGTTAGTTATTAAATCTTAAAACAGGTGTCACTGTAGTACAGCAACAGGTGACTTAAGTAAATGATTATTTCAATGTTTCTAAAAGCTCAACAACACTTAAACTGTAGCTTTAGTGTTCTTGTCATTTAATATAACAAGAAAAACTCTTTTATTGATATATTTATCAATTTACTGCAACTAAATAAACATTTAAAATAAAATGAAAATCCAAACTAGCAACATTAACTGGTATAACCAATTGGAAACTGTGTTAGAACTAGAAGTTAAACCTGCATTTGAACTGGAAGATATTTAATGATATAACTTGTTACACTGCTATTAAAGGATACTAAAAGTTAGTAGAAATAGTTAGATACAAATTAAAGGTGCTCTAAATCTTTTCTTATCATGACAAGTGTCATCGTAAGACAAAAATTCTGTAGTATGATTATCAAAAGCTTTTGTAGAGATATTTCTCGTTATAATAGGTCATACACTCCAGAAATCATCGTGTGCAGAAAAACAGTTTAAACTAACATGAAGATTTTTTAGTCATGTAAAATTGTGTGTTACATGACCAATTAGGTTTGTAAAGATCTGATAATTTTCTACCCATGAATATAATGCTGTTATAGATTTGTTTCTACCTATTACAATAAGCCCAGTTTACTGAAACAATAAGATCATAACTCCAAGGGAAAATGAACATGTTTATTTTCACACAACCCCCCACATCAGTTGTTACCAGAGCTAATATAACTTGAAAATACTGGTGTCAAAATGTTTTTACTTAGTAAAAACTTTAACTGTACAAAGATTCAGACATTATTATTTGTGTAATTAGACAATAACTGTTCATAGATATGATTTAAAAAAGAATTACATGCAAGTTTACCTTTATGCTATTTTTGTAAATTATATTTTTAATATTATAATTCAGATGTTTGTTCCTAGAGGGAGTGTCATTATGTAATGATGTTGATGGAATAATCTAGAAATTTCATGCAACAAGTAGGAAATGAGAATAATATACAATTGCAGAATGTCAGCAAATCAGTATTCAGTGAGCTAATTAGTAATCAGTTAATGAAGCTATCAATTCAGTGTTTGTTCGTGGCTTAGCAAGAGTTTACTGCATCTATTTATCTGCAATTCAGTTAGTCAGTTTGCTATCGAATATTTAGCAAGGGAAATCTGTAAGTAAGTTTATTAGTGAGTTAGGTTGTTTGGATGTGTCTGGAAGCAACAGCTGCAATAAAAAGCCAAATGCACAGATCTGATAAGCGAATGAAAACAGGGTAGCTATTGTGCTACCACCTGAACAACCCAAATATATTTTCAAGTCTTTCTTTAAACGCAAGGTCAATTCTGACAATAATATATAAATGTGGAACGGTTTTTGTTTGAAATAACTTTGTTACTGTTTTTAACTGTTACTTATTTGATACTTTTCAACTTTGTTTTGTTGTTATCTTTACACACAAAAAATGTATTTTATATTTTCATAAAAAAACAAAAAACTTTTTGACGTATCTCATTTTGGTAATAAGCTTCAGAAGGCTTTGAGGATTATAACAATAAGCTTACCTGTCTACGTCATATCTGTACTGGAAATATAGATTTTGTTATGTTTGTCAGTTTACCAAACATTTCTATTGTCAAAGAATAAATACACACACATGTTATGTAACAACACAGTTAACTGAATGGAAACCATACACTCGCATGTTATGTAACAACGCAGTTAACTGAATGGAAACCATACACTCACATGTTATGTAACTACACAGTTAACTGAATGGAAACCATACACTCACATGTTATGTAACAATGCAGTTAACCGAATGGAAACCATACAAGCACATGTTATGTAACAACACAGTTAACTGAATGGAAACCATACAACGCACATGTTATGTAACAACACAGTTAACTGAATGGAAACCATACACTCACATGTTATGTAACAACACAGTTAACTGAATGGAAACCATACACTCACATGTTATGTAACAATGCAGTTAACCGAATGGAAACCATACACTCACATGTTATGTAACAACGCGTTTAACTGAATGGAAACCATACACTCACATGTTATGTAACAACACAGTTAACTGAATGAAAACCACCTTTACAAGTTATTTTGTACCATTATGTAAAGTTTCAAATGAAACTAACTCTTTGACCATAGCTTAGGAAATTAGTGACATATCTTAGGAATAGGCAGTAGAATTAATGATATGTTTAACTCATTTGAGATTTGACCATATCTTAGCTATACAGTGATGAAATCTATGATCAATGTATCACTGAAAAAAAAGGATAAAACACAGAACAAATATCTTAGCTATACAGTGATGAAATCTATGATAATCACTGAAAAAAAGTATAAAACACAGAACAAATATCTTAGCTATACAGTGATGAAATCTATAATCACTGAAAAAAAGGATAAAACACAGAACAAATATCTTAGCTATACAGTGATGAAATGTATGATCAGTGTATCACTGAAAAAAAAGGATAAAACACAGAACAAATGTTCATATTATCTTGTTCTCATCCTCTTCGATGCAATGAAATACAAAGATCCCCTGATAATTATGTATTTTGTAGCATTATTCTCATCCTCTTTGATGCAATGAAATAACAAAGCTCCCCTGATAATTATGTATTTTGTAGCATTATTCTCATCCTCTTTGATGCAATGAAATACAAAGCTCCCCTGATAATTATGTATTTTGTAGCATTATTCTCATCCTCTTTGATGCAATGAAATACAAAGCTCCCCTGATAATTATGTATTTTGTAGCATTATTCTCATCCTCTTCGATGCAATGAAATACAAAGCTCCCCTGATAATTATGTATTTTGTAGCATTATAGATGTCT